ATACTTCCAAAGGGAATCTTGGATAGCCCCAGGATACTTCCAAAGGGAATCTTGGATAGCCCCAGGATACTTCCGAAGGGAATCTCGGATAGTTGCTGGATGGGTTTAAATGTTAAAGTACTTGAAAAGGCAAAGCGGACTCCTGGCTTCGACACATTGCCCCCCCGCAGTGAGGAGCAGGAGGGACAGGGAGGGGGGTGTCAGGAGAGGGGTGGGCAGTGCCCCCGGGTCTACTCGTTGAAAATGGAGCCCATCTGAGTGCCCACCATGTGGGGGGCAGGTGCGGCGTACGGCTCGAAGGCCACGTCCAGGGGCAGGTCGTACCGCGTCACCGCCGTGGGGAAGAGGGGGGCGTGGCCCTGGGGCCCCGAGAGCCCCGCCACCGAGGAAGGGGGGTAGTGGGGGTGGCCGAGGAAGCCCCCAGCGTGGGCGTGGGAGTGGGCGTGGGCGTGGGCGTGGCCGGCGTAGCCCTTCTCCACCTCGTGCGGGGATGGCTCTTGCTTGAGGGCGAAGTTCCCAGTGATGCTCAGGGGGGGCGTGAGCGGCCCGTCGTAAGGGGGGGTCCCGCTGCTGCAGTCGTGGCCCGGGGAGGGGTTCTCGTAGGGGCCCCCCTTGAAGCCCGGCAGAGGCTTGAGGTGCAGGAGGTGCGAGGCCTCCAGGTTGCCGTAGGGAGGGCTGGGCAGCCCCGGGGAGGGGTAGCTGAAGGGGTGCCCGGGGGCCATGGAGGCGCCCAGCCCCACCCCGCAGGGCACGTGCTGCTGCTTCTCCTCCAGCTTGTCCAGCAGCACGGGCGGCGCCCCCAGCTGGAGGCAGCCGGCCACCAGGTTGCTGGTGGGCTGGGAGAGGCCCTTGCACAGCATCTCGATGAAGCCCCGGCTCTCGGGGGACTGGCCGGTCTCCAGCACCTCGGACAGCGCCCAGATGTAGTTGCGCGCCAGCCGCAGCGTCTCGATCTTGGACAGCTTCTGCGTCTTGGAGTAGCAGGGCATGACGCGGCGCAGGTTGTCCAGGGCGTCGTTCAGGCCGTGCATGCGGGAGCGCTCCCGGGCGTTGGCCTTCACCCGCCGGGCGCGGAACCGCTCCAGCCGCGCCTTCGTCATCTTCTTCTTCTTGGGGCCCCGGCGCTTGGGGCCCTTCTCCCCACACTCGCCTCCCTCTTCCTCCTCCTCCTCCTCCTCCTCCTCCTCCATGTCCTCCAGGTCCTCCATGTCCTCGCTGCCCTGCTCGCCCGCCCCGCAGCCCCCGCCCGGGCCGTAGCACGCCAGCTCCGCCGCGCCCTCCCCGTCCTGCGAGCTGACGTCTTCCTCCATCCAGCCCAGGGAGCTCACCAGCTCCGCCACGTCGCTGGCTTTCCCGTAGGGCTTCGTCATCATGGCGCCCTGCAGAGTGCGAGAGGGTCACAGTCAGTCCCGCTACCCCAGTGCCCTCTGCGGCCCGACCACAGCCAGCGCCCCCCGTGTGACTCTGCCACCTCATTACGTTACAGCCCGAAGAACGCTCTACACCGGAAACGCTGCGTTTCTCCTTTGTTTATTTTTGATGGCTGAATTAAACTTTACTTGTTCGTCTGCAGCCCGCACAAGCTGACACGGCTCCCTAACTAATAAAGATCACAAAGCCTAGTGCTTCCTGGGATGCAGACCCACGACTCCAAGGTGCCAGCGGTAGGCTGTGGCTTGCGGTTGGCATTCAGGATTCCTGAAGACCCTGTGTGTGTGAGGAGGGTTCAGCCAAGACTTACTGACGGCCAGGGACACAAGCCCCGTCCAGTGACAGTCTACCCAGCAAGCTCTAACTCCATTCCATTGTGCTGTAGCCCTTCATTCAGGCTGACCCTGCTCTATCTGAAGGGCTTGCAGCGAGGGGCCTCGATTAAAGCAATTAAGTGATTAAGGATCACTCTGGTAATGAAGTCTGTGGTTGGATCCGTGCCCCGCAGTGGAAGAGCAGGGGAGGCCCCTCAGCTGGCAGGCTAGCATGGCGCTCTTATGAAGTCAGCCACTGAACCTGACCAAGGCCCAGACCCCTGGATCGGGTTTGAGTGTGGCGAGTCTGGAGAGGGAGGAGGGGGCAGAGGGCTGAGGAGATATTTAATCAGTGCTCACGTCTGCAGGCCAAGCTCAGAGAGAACCAGACCCCAATACCCTCTCTGCATTCTCACAGTTATCTTCAGACCCCTTAAATCTATCACCCCCCCATTTGCTGGCTGCTTCATCCAATTCAGGGCCATGGGGGAGCCGGAACCTATCCCAGCAGCGGGGGCGAGGCAGGGTACGCCCTGGACAGGACGCCAGCCCATCACACACACACACAGACACAGACACAGACACACACACTCACACCAGGGCCAGTTTTCCCAGAAGCTGTTTAATCCACCAACATGTCTCTGGTCTGTGGGAGGAAACCCGCATGAATATTCGCAGCCCAGATTCAGAACTGAGCCCAGCCCTTCGGCGCTGCGAGGCAGCAGTTCTGCCCACTCTGCCTCTGTGCCGCCTCCTGAATGTATTCATCTCCAGAACTGGCCTTCCATGATGAAATCACCGCTCTGCCTTCTGAAAAACAGGCTGCCTTTCACTGACGGGTTCAGAACCGACATGCATTATGGATGGAGACAGGCTGTTCCCGTGCTCGCGGCCCTGCTCCTCGCCCGGCGCCGGCAGCCCCGTGCCCACATGCGTATTCATGCAGGACCTGCGCCCTGCCCTCCGCGAGTAACCCGACACCCCGCTGGCCGGCCCGCATGCATAATGCAGCGTCAGCTCCTGTTTGCGCGAGCGGCACGCGCGGCCCCCGCCCACACACCCGCCGGCCCCCCCCCACCGGGCTCCCAGCAACACGGCTCGGCTGGAACCGGGGCCTCAAGAAGGACGCTTTCCTTTAAACCGCTTGATCTGTCCACGTCAATTCAGGCTGTGCAGCGGCCCCTGGGGGCCCGCCGTCGCAGCAGAGCGCCTGCTGGGGGAATCTGAGTGAGGAGCCGGGTGTGAGGGCGTAGAGGCAGCGTCCCATCCGGGAGTCGAACCCGGAGTCTCTGGGGACATCCAGAGCTTCCTCCACAGATCTGCTCTGCTGACAAAACTAACGCCCTTCCCCCCCACACACACACAGTATTAACTGGCAATCAGGAGCCAGTAAAAGTCAATATTCATTTCCTTTTGGCATTTTGACACGAAACACATGCAACAGGCTCACATCAGACTCATCTCACTGTCCAGCTACGCCTCATGTACAGTCAGTAGTGTGGACCTCGTATTGGCCATTGACTATTAATGCTGTGCTAACTGCAAATATCAAACTGGGTTGAGTATGTGTCAGCCTTGTTTTCACAACAGCCCTGGAAATTATTATTAAGGCGGCGCAGAGGAGATTTGAGATTCCCGCTCTTAAATTGAATTGGTGTGACATGTTTTGCCACTGGGGAGCCTGGAAGGGCCAGTGGGACAGTATGGATGGAGTCGGATCTTTCACCCACGTCCCCAGTCTGACTGACCATCCCGCACACCAAGACTATGACGGTCTTGCTGTGAACTGAGAGTTTATCCCACAGCACTCAGTTGGGCATTTATGCGCCTGACTGGGAAGCCTGTTTCAGACACTCGCAACTCTCTGTGTAAACACAGTTTCCAGTTCTCATTCCTAAATGAAGACCCTTTAATGTCCTGCTGTGACCCTCTGTCCCTGCTTCCCTGCTAGGTCACTGGACAACTTAGGAATTGATATCTTTAGAGATTTAGCTCCTTTCTGTTCACGGCGTGTTTCAAACCAACGATACACGGAATCGTTCTTGTTTTTCTTTGTGGAATTGCACGCTAAACTACACGTGTAGTGTATGTAGGAAACAGCGGGGAAGCCGTCATTCTACGATTCAGCTAAGTCGAGACCCCTTTCATTCACCGTTGCCGAAAAGCTGCCTGCGTGTTTTTCTTTTCCTCGTGGAACAAACCCCTACGTGCTCCTTATTCACGCAGAGCTGACCGCCTCCTCTCTCCTCTCCTGCTCGGCTTCGCCTAATTGCCTCGCGCACCCGGAAATAGGTCAGTGAAGCCCGGTAGGTCCGACAGACTTCGACAAGGGACTCGCACGCTTCTGCCAGCCTGCATCTGAGCCGTCTGGCCGCGCGGCGCGGCCCTCGCGGAGCGCGCGGCTGCAGCGCGCCGGCGAGCAGAGCTCTGCGGAGAGAAGCTGTTTGAAATGGTGTCCAGTCAAGCGAGCCCGGAGAAGCCGCGATGTGCGAGCGAGCGAGTTAGAGCGAGAGAGAGAGAGAGAGATTTCTAATTTCAGCACTGGCGAGCCGGACAGCTCCCTCAGGAAAAGGCGATCTGGATTTATCTCGAAAACTCAAATGCCCGCATTACGTTCATTACGCATTACGGCCTCTCTGTAAAAGCCATTTTAATCGTTTTTTTATCCCCTTCTACCCTGAACATCACCCGATCACTAGCTCTATAACTAGACACTGTTATGCGTTCAACATGTGATAATCGGAGCTATGGGGCTGATTTAATCCGACAAAAATATTCATAATTACCTATTACATCTTTTCTCAAAGGCGTGTACTGAATTAAAAAATGTTGAAATCTCCATCCAGCTACCTGGTTTGGAGTTTAATGCTTCTTCTACGAAGTTGCCCGAACCTAGAGAGATTCTTTGAGAAACGTTGCTGTCTGTCTACAGTATCTCACTCTCTAATTGCGTATGATTTACTCCCCCCGAGCTGCTGGGAATCGAGATCGCCAGAAAACTGTCTGCATGTCTGTCCTCCCCAGTTGTTTAAAACCCGCGGACTCGCAGCTGGACGGCTGACGGAGACGCGCCGGTCTGTCCTCGGAAGTATTCACGCACACAGCTGTGCGCGCTTCGACCGGTTTGCCGTCGTTAAACGCCTCTTGAGAAGTTCTTCCATACAGCGCGGTAGGGTGGACAGTGTGCAGGAGGCTTGTTTTCTGAGAGATCTCGCCGAGAAATACACTCAGGAGGACACGCCGTATCGGGGAGAGGGGCCGCTGTCTATCTGGGACGCGGGGGGATTTAGCCTGACAGCTCAAGGCTGAGGTCCTCGGCTTTAATTCTAGTTTAGCCCAGATAACAGCGTCAGCGGACACCGAGCCCAAGACACAAACAGCGAAGGCAGGAGTCAATCCCGGAGACAGACACGGATTACTACCTCTGGAAAGCGTGCGTGTGTGTGTCTCTCTGTGCCTCTGTGTGTCTCT